CCCTTTGATGGGATACTCCTAGGAACAAGGAGACATCAGATTTCCCAGGGAAGTATTTACAGTCCGTGACATATTTTTCATGGCCATGAAATTGGTAGGGTTCTACTTATGTGAGATAGGGTTACCTGGTCCTTTCATCTGAACAGGATGCGCCTTGCTATGACTGAGTAGAAGTGGAAATAAAGATATGTCCCTGCAGCCAACACAAAGCAGTACGAAGGCAAGGCCTCCTCCAGCTCAGAAGCAGTAACACATTCCCAATTAGCAGTTTTTTTAAAGGGATATTAATAAGGGCCCAAAAGCAAACTATTCCACTGCATAGGAAAGATAAAAAGTATGACAGGAGATCTTACATGAGCCAGAGCAAAACCTCAGAGGCGCGGGACCCCGCCGTGGCTGCCGCTTCAGTCCCGGTGCCTGTGGTCTGCTGGGAATGGCCCCTTGCTGCTCACCCCACCTCTGAGGTCATTCTGCAGTGTAACTGTCCCTCCTGTCAGGCCCCTCCCTTTCCGTTTGATAAGAAATAATCAAATTCCACACATCCTATTATTTTAGCACAACCAAGCCCTGACCTTGTTTTAAGTTAAGATAAAAGGAAGCTGCATACCAAATTTAGTGGTCCTAGCTCTTACTGTTTAGGAGGTGTTCTTGAACAGACTGACTCCTGGACGGACTGACAGACAGACAGATGCACATTCCTAAAACATACAGTAAGGTTTTTTTGGCCTGGGGAAATGATTAATGCATTTTTATACAAAATCTCTCAGTCCCTATGAATGCCAGGGTAAATTGTTAATCTACAAAATTATTAAAGAAATGCTGAGTTGGACCTATATTTTAAAAAACAGGTTTGGAAATGAAGCTGAAAATTCATTCTTAAGTCAACTTTGTCGTGCTTACTATAGGTAATGAAGCATAAATTGTCGCTGTTCATTCTTTTAAGATATCTGCACCACTATATACAAGTTTATTTTGTGGTCAGTTGCTGCTAATTCAACAGAAATAGTAATACATTAAAGGGAATATCACCCAGTGATGACGATTTAAATTAGGAAAAACCAAGTTAATTAAAAAGCATAGAATAAAGCCACCAAATGTAAACTGTACAGGTTATATTTGACTTTCTTCACGTAAAACCTTATGCAGTTCTGCTGTATAAGTTGCATTGTATGGATCCTTCCTTGTTACTCACATTTTCACTTGTAAAAAGAGAATGTTAATATCTAACTACCAGTCATTAGGTTAGCCCAGGTGTAATGTATTTGAACTTAATGAAAAGCAGTTGTGTTTCACACTTATTACTGACAGGTATAATTTGGCTTGTAGCGCCCTTGTTCTATGACACGTTATATTTAAAAGATGGAAAGCACCCAGTGTGAATAAACCCAAAAGCCTCTAGAAATCTGTATTAGCAACAGAAATTTTTATATTCAAGGCAACAGAATCTATAGATTCATTATATCTTAGTAGTGTTATGAAAACAGTAGGAAACAATAAAAGTTATTTTTGTCATGTTAGAGAAAAGATGTTTAAGATTCTGTTTTTACATAATTATTTTTCAATGTCAAAATGCATTTGGAGTTAGATATTTTCTAAATTCTTAAACCTACGGAGGTCTTGTCTTTACTACTGTGCTACATACGTGTGGCACTCTCCCATTAATTTAATTAGCTCCTGCCTCTCCTTGAAATAGAGTATGTCAACAGGAGAGTGATGTAAGTTACATTGCTCAGGAGTAAGTTACATCAACTTAAGCAGTAGTGTAGACAAGCCCTGAATTGCAAAGAGTATCCCAATGGCATAAGAGAGAGATGACTAATTCTCAAGCTAGTAAATATATTGCACTGATGTCTTCAGAATAGTTGATTTGTAGCAATGAAAATACTTTCTTCTGTATTTGCTAGCTTTATGGATACTCGGGCCACATCTACACTGTAGACTTATCAGTATTACTACATCATCCAAGAATCTAAAAATCCCAGTGTAGAGAGTTACTCCCATTGACATGGCTACCACCTCTTGGGGAGCTAGATTAACTCTGCCAATGGCAGAAGCTCTCCTGTAGGCCTAGTAGCAGCTTCACTAAAGTGCTACAGTAGCACAGCTACTTTACATGAAGATAAACCCTAAGTAAAATGAACAACAAAACATTCCTGCATTTCTGTAACTAGGTACAGACTTGTTTTAGTTGGGATTTTTCCTAATTTTAATAATAGTTGTTGCCTTTCTGACAGTGGAACTTCGCATTTAACCAGTCTTCATGCAGTGGCTGTGGCACCTTAGTTATGTGGTGTTATATGAAAAAAATTGAATCCACTTTTAATATATTTGAAGTAGATTTGAGTTTTCATTCTAAAGTTAATAGCTAATTTTACTGTGGATGAATTTTCTTTTGTTCTGTTTCTTTTTTCCATTCTTTCAGTGGTCCTCAACCAAGGGTATGAGTACCTTTGGGGGTACATAAAGGTATTTCTGAGGGGTATGTCAGCTCATCTAAATATCTGTCTAGTTTTACAATGGGCTACAGAAAAAAGTATAAGTCAGTACAAACTAAACATTTATTCGGACAACTTGTTTATACTTATGGGCAGTTGGTGAAGGTTGGGCTGGGGGAGGCAAGTCCCCAGCCCCACCCCTTCTGCCCAGGTCATGCCCCAATCACGGGGAGGGTGAACCACGTGCTACCCCCCCACATCCCAGAGTATGGGGAGGGCAGGCACTCTGGGGTAGCAACACTTTGCCCCCAGAATGCCTACTGTAGGCATTCTGGGGGCAAAGTGTAAGTGAACCCAAGCTGGTGGTTTGGGAAGACTGCCTTCCCCAGCCACCTATGTTTATACACCTCTATATTAGGGATGTTAAAATATGTTCATTTTTATAAACATGTAAGTACTGAAATTTTCAGCAGTTACACATTTACATGTGAGGGCTGTCCCCCGCACGCTGCGCTGCTGCCTCTGATAGAGAGGTGGCAGCAGTATAGAGGGCAGGTGGTTCCACAGGAGCTGGTACAGGCAGGAAGCCAGCTTGAAAGCTGACTTCCCATATGTACTAAGGATGTTAAATATTGGTTAGTAAATATCAGTTAGTCTATAGACACTTCCACTTTCCTCCTTTGAAATGTACAAGAGCCCCAGCAGGGGCTCTTGTGCATTTCAAAGTTGGACACCATGTGCAGCCTGAGCCAGCGGGAAGTCCCACTGATTCCAGGCTCCATAAACTTTGAAATGCCCAAGAGCCCTCGGGCTCTTTGGCATTTCAAAGTAGAAGTGTCCACGTGGAACCCAGAGTCAGTGGGACTTCCCACTGGCCCCAGGATGCACGAGGTGTGCCAGCTTTGAAATGTACAAGAATCCCGAAGGGGGGCTGTTGTGCATTTCAAAGCAGAAGCGCCTCCATGGAGCCTGAAGTCAGAGTCCCCTGCTGACCCTGGGCTCCGTTCGGCATTTCTGTAGAACCAAGGTCAGCTGGGGACTCCCTAGCTGACTCTGGGCTCTGCACGCTTTGAAATGCCGCTTGGAGCCCGGGGTCATCTAGGGAGTCGCCAGCTGACCCCTAGCTCCGCACGCAGCAGTGTTTTAAAGGGGCAGCGCCACACAGCTGATCCTGGGCTCTGTGCAGTGCTGCCCCTTTGAAATACCACTGCAACATTTGAAATACCACTGCAACATTTGAAATACCACTGTAATGCCGCACTGAGCCTGGGATCACTTGTGCAGCTCTGCCCCTTTGAAATGCCGTCACAGCGTTTAAAGTGGCCATATGGCACGGAGCCCTTACCGCTTTGCAGTACCCCCTATTTCCCCTCCTTTGCTGCCTCTATTAAATAGAGGCAGCAAAGAGGAGGGGAAGCAACTAGTTGACTTGACAGTCCGATAGTTAGCTAGTCCTTAAGGGTATGTCTACACTGCCACCCTAGTTCGAACTAGGGTGGTTAATGTAGGCAACCGAAGTTGCAAATGAAGCCCGGGATTTAAATATCCCGGGCTTCATTTGCATCTTGCCGGGCGCCGCCATTTTTAAAGCCCCGGTAGTTCGGACTCCATGCCCGCGGCTACACGCGGCACGGAGTAGGTAGTTCGAATCAGGCTCTCTCATTCGAACTACCGTTACACCTCGTTCCACGAGGAGCCTGAGCTATCGGAACTACCAGGGAGTGTAGACATACCCTAACATCCTTAGCATGTACCGGCTCCCACCTGCGCCCCACGCTGTTCCCATGGAGCCGCCTGCCCCATTGCTTTGCTGCTTGTGATACAGAGACAGAAGCACAAGGAAGGAAAGGAGCAGTTGGCTCAGTGGGAGCCGGTATGCACGGGGAGTCATCCTCTGCAGATTGCTCTCTGAGAGCACCAGTTCCCACCTCCCCCTCTGATACAGAGACAGTGGGATGGGGTAGTGCATGTAACTGTGAGGGTTAACTGATGAGCCCAGGTTCATTGGTTAACTATGTAAGGAGTACATGCTAACATTCCTACTCTAGATACTATACGTGTAAATGTTAATTCAATATTCATATTCAAACTGTTTTATAATATATGGTAAATTTTCAGTAGCAGTGTGCTTGTATTTTTGCCTGATTTTGTAAGCAAGTAGTTTAAGTGAAGTGAATCTTGGTGGTACACAAGACAAACCAGACTTACGGAAGGAATACAGTAGTCTGGAAAAGTAGAGAGCCAGTGTTCTAGACTATAACCATATGAATGTAACTATTACCATAGCAACAAATTACAGCATTGTATCTGGAATTACTCTATCCCATTTTAAACAGGTATGATTTGAGGAATGGGTTAAAATGGAATGCTCTTTCTGCACAATGAAAATTTGAATAATTTGCCAGTTAAGTCATTAAAATGGGTTTCTAGTGAGATTACTTGTGCTTAAACAGTATTACTGAAATTATCATTGATTTTTTTCCCCTAAAGATAATTAAATAGATGCAAAAATAAGTAAACTAATAGTGTGAACTTAATGAATAGAAAACATTTCTTCTATTGCAGCTCTATGCAGGTGCTATTCTTGAAGTGTGTGGATGAAAATTGGGACGGTTCCCTCAGGTTCAGGGTAAGTTCACACTATGATACTGTTGATGCTGTAAATTCTATACTAAAGAAAGTTGTAAATTTAGTAGCGAGGTGATAAAAATTGAGAGCCCCATAGACTCTAGACTACTAGACCAAAGGCACAATAACTTTCTCTATTGCTACATGAAGCCTGCTGGCCATTGTATAAACTATTCTTAGCCCATATTCCTAATGCAAATATTTGCCCTTGTTAAAATTCTGGCAGCCTTTTCTTTTGAAATGTTCTAGCACCACTCTATTTTGCAGAGGAACTTGAAATTTGCTGAGGTGAGCCTTTGTGTAAGAGATGTGCTTTTTGCTATTGCCGGAAAAGTCTGACTAAATTTGGCCAAGCTACAGTGAAAGCTTTTGTAATCTGGCACTCCGTTAACTGGAAAACTTTGTTAACTGGCTCTGCTCCCAGCCACAATACCACTCCATGTTCAGGTGCAATGCCTGACTCCTGCATGTCCAGCCAAGCAGTGCAGAGCTTTTTACATTTGGCACTGCTGGCTGACATCAGCAGCAGGCACCTCCTTCCTCCTCAGCCTACCTCAAGCTGATGGGAGCTAGATCTGCCAGTAGGGTGCAGGGTAGAACAATAAGCTTTGTTATCCAGCACGTTCAGTTAACTGGAAATCCCCATTCCCCATGAGTGCCAGATAAAATTTTCACTGTATATATTTTTGAGAAATAGCTGTTTGGACATGATCAATAGAATCTTAAACATGTTAGCATAAAATCTCTACAAATTCTGATCTTTACTGCACAAGCTTTAAGGCTCTTACAGCTCCTACATGTGATTGAATTGTACTTGTCCCATCCTTACACACAAGAGAACCTGTTGACCAGACTGAAGGCACAAACCCTATAGAGTACCTCAGTGTGCACCAGTCCTGGGTTGGCTGGGCACTGGAACTAATATCAGGAAGTACTTGAGAGGTACTAAAATGGGGTTTAACGTGCACAGGCAATGTTAAGGAGCAGGCTGCCCGACTTAAATAAAAGCATGCATCTGATTTGCAGAAGTGCTGACCACTTAGATGCAACTAAAGTCAACAGGAACTGTTATTTGAACACGTTGAACATATAATGTGTTATGTAAGACAAAGTACAGTAAAACTCCATTAGTCCCGCATCCAATGCTCCGGGACTTCTGATGGTCCGGCACCATCAGGAACCCGGAAGTGCTGGGGCAGCCGGACAGGCTTCCCCCATTCAGCTGCTGCTGAAACTGACCAGCAGCTGAATCGGGGAACCGGGAGCAGAGCAGCTGGGGTGCTGCCGGGTTGGTCTCGTAGCGCTGCCCCTCGGGGCTGCGGGACCAACCCGGCAGGTTTGGGGATGCCTGGGCAAAGCAGCTGGAGTGCTGCCGGGTTGGTCCCGCATCGCCGTCCTTTGGCGCTCATACAAACCTCTCATAGCCCCCCACTTCTGATAGTCCGGCATATCTGATAATCTGGCACCCCCTGGGTCCTAAAGGTGCCGTATTATCGGAAGTTTACTGTATTCTGAAAAATCAGGTATCTAAAATGGGCCACCATAATTAGAGACTGTTGTTCTGCTTCAGCTCCTTTCTGTCAGTAAAATGAGAATCATGTCGCTTGTCTCACTGCAGGTGAACTGCACTTTAGACTGTTTAATCTCTCAGGTGTACCCCTCTGGTGATGGGTTCCACTGCTTTAAACTCATCCCTCAACAGAACTATGTGATCCTGCCACTTTGAGACTGGGCTCTGGGATGAATTCATTTACAAACTACTAGATACAGATCTATCTATTTGGCACTTGCAAGTCCTCTTTCTCCAAGATCCTGTGATCAGTGGATGATTAAAATCCTAACTTCTTTTGTTTTTTGTCGGAGGAAGCACTACTTACTCATCAAGCAAGCAAAGCCTGTTTGCCTGGGTTTTAACTCCATTCTTCCCCTTTTCTGTTGGCTATTTTAAGATTAGCTGTGCACATACTCTTCCAAACACACTTCTCCCTCACTCCACCTTCTCATGAAAAGCCCAGGCTCCTTCGTCTGAGATTTCATCTGTTAAAACCAACTTCTTAAGCATCCGGTTCACTTATCCCTATAAGAACATAAGAATAGCCATACTGCATCAGTCCAAAGTTCCATCTACCCCAGTATGCTATCTTCCAACAGTGGCCAGATGCTCAAGAGAGAGTTAACAGAACAGGTAATCATCAAGTGATCCCTCTCCTGTCGTCATTTTCAGCCCTTGACAAACATAGGCTAGAGACACCATTCCTACCCATTCTGGCTATCCCCTTCAATTTATATCCATTTTCGTTGGGAAATAATGGGGAACATAAAGGAAGACACCCCATAAAGGGCTGGAAATAATTATCCTGAAAGCAGGCTAATTCAAATCCATGAGCAGTCCTGTGGCACCTTAGAGATTAACAACTATATTACATGATGAGCTTTCATAGCTAAAACTCATATATGTTAGTCTCTAAGGTACCACAGGACTTCTCGTTGTTTTTAAAGTTACCGATTAACACCGCTACCCCAAGACTAATTTAAATCAGTTTCTCATTCAGAACCTCTAGAATCTAGTGTCCTGGAAGCTGGCTCACATTAATAATCAAGAAGTCTCTCTCTTAATCCTTCTTTTTTCTAAACAAATTCATATGTTTTCTTAATTCTACTAAACTTTTAGCTTCCTTTTTTAAAAATGATTGTGGGTATGTCTACATTGATCATCTAGATAACACCACAACTAGAGCAATGCATGAACAAATCATGGCATGTAATCATCCATAGATCCAGATTGGTTTGTACAGTGAACACTGAAGTGCACACTGTCATAGCACAGACTAGCTCAGGTATGTCTGTAATCTGCAGGCACATTCAGTGACTGGAGTGTAGACATACTATGACTGAAGCTTGGGAGCCTGCCAATACATACCCTCATTTGGCTGGCAACCCTTCTTTTGTACAGTTTAGTAATAGAGAGAAAGATTGACAAACCTTTATAGGTACATAACTTTCTTTTTGCCCTGAACTTCCTTATAGCTAGCAGATATAAATGTATCCTGACAACTGATGTCTTCCCATCAGTTTTGACACCCATAGCGTTCGGCTTGTTCCTACACCATAAAATATTTAGAAGCACAATGTAATACTGATATTGTTTCTTTAATTTGAATGTATCCTCAAATTCTCAAATATTGATACCTTAATTTTTTTAGTATACTCACCTGTTTGTTTTGGCAGAAAATAAAATTGTGGAAGTCTTTGATCAAACTACTTTGAGAGATTCCCACCTTACATTTTAACAATTTGGGAGCCCTACGTTTATCTAAGGGCTCTATATATTTCTGGTTGTCACCTGAATGTTATAAAAGTGAGGTTGACTGAAGGCCTTGCTGTTGCTTCTGAAGCTTCAGGAATGCTGGTATTTTTAGGTTATATTGAACTGTGGAATCTGTCACTGCCAATGCTCTTTTTACAAACCTTCACTTTAGTTTGGTTCCTGTCTGCTGTCTCCCTGTAAGATTTTTTTTCCTTACAGTATAGAGAAGCTGGCAGCACTAATTGCTGGGTTATGAATGTTTGAAAATTACACAGATTTTGTTAATTCTGTAGTTGACCTCAAGGTTTTTTATTTTTAAGTACTTAAAACATTGATTTAAACATTGTCAGTTGGTATACACTTAAATCTGATGATGCAGTAACTGTCGTGTATTTCTGGTAGGCCAGAGATGATCTTCACAGAACAGAACTCTAGTTTTAAAGTTTAAGTTTGTGAAATAAAGTGAATCATTATATAAAAATAAAGTTATACAATAAGGAGAGGAGCCAATCTCTAACCGCTGGTAGAAAAGAATAATAGATTCTGTGGAGCTCTTAGTAATAGTTAATTTCAATTACCATTTCTAATTTAAGAAAAGCTTCAGTATTCAAAGAACACTTTTTAAAATTTGTTTAGCTATAATAAGCTCAAAATATAGTCTGGGTATTAGTGAAATCATGTAAGAGTAGGAGAGACAATGAAATAATTTGTAGCTCCAGCGAGTTATGCAGTTTGGAAAACTGGTTGCTTGCTGATTGGACAATACTACCTTAAAAAAAAAGACTTCCTGAAAAATTTTAATTGTGTTTCTACATTAGGAAGAGAGTTGTTGCTTATTTCAGCTACCAATATATTTAGTTCTGGCACTCCATTTCAAGGTAATTTCACATTTATCTCCATATTACTTTTCAATAAATATCTAATTCTCAAATATTGGAAATGGCTAATGTTTCACAAAATCCCATTGCTCTTAAGGTTTTCATCTTGCAAGTATTTACTAAAATCTCTTCTATTTTCAATTTGGCCTTTCTTCCCGCCTCACTTTCCCCCCAAAAAACGAACATCCTGCCCTCAAATGTGATAAAGGACAATCAGTAAACTTCTTTAGGCAGAATATTATTCAAATAAAATAAACATCTGAGGTAGGAACAATCAAAACCAGTGCTCTTCAAATCAGGAATGTAGTAATTAAGTCATGCTGAGTTGGGAAACTGCAAATATACAACCTGCATCCTTTTGTGAACAATCAAAATACTCATTCCGAAGATCAAAAGCTGAGCAAAGATATAGAAATTTTTGGTTTTTTGTAATTTATCAAATTGCCATTCTGAAGTTCTTGTTCTTCATAGAAACTTAGTCCTTAATATGTCATCCATATTAATAAAATACTTTTTCTCCAGAGTTGAGGCCCTATAAGCAAAATGACTGAGTCTGTAAAAATCTAGATGTACACTTCATTTGTGATTTAGTCTCTTCATAAAATTATATGGGTCATCATGAAGGTTTTGAAGCAGAACCATGTTCTGCTCCCCCTTGCTCCTCCACCTCATGCAAATATAAAACTTACACAAGGAACCTCACTGAAGGAAATTCTGAAAACTTTACTGTTCAGAGTTATTTATACATATTACTAGCCAACCCTTTTTGCCATCTACTAAACAGTTCATTACATCTTCCCTTTATAAATAAGTCAC